TTCGTTTTAATAAAAAATTAAATCTCTCTCGTAAGCTAAGAAGGAGGCTGACAAGTCGTGATCTCAAGCTAGAACTTCGATTGCAAATCGATGGGGCACAAGGTGAAAACCTCTCAAACACGATAATAAAATATATATAAAAAAAAAAAAAAAAAAAAAACATTGAACTTACCCCGCGTTCGGCCTGCAGTTGATCCTCGTGTCCCATGAAGTTAGGCATGGCGGTGAGGTTGTACCGGAGACCCCGGCAAAAGGACACACCTAGTCGCTCGCACTTGGCGCTGGCGCCTTGGTGGCCAACTCCCCAGGACACCGCAACGCCGGCAAGGGCCGCTAGCGCGAGGAGCACACCCACGTTATAGGCCGTCATCGCGCGGACGACTGATTCTCACGTATAGTCAAGGAGGCGATCGGTTAACGTTTCGTATTACCGGGCTACACTCATAAGGATAGCGCACGCGAGCCGCTCGGCTCGACACTCGGCAACTTACTGAGGTGGCGGCCCTCGAGCGGCAACGTGCGCTGTCGAGCCGCCGACTTTGGGGTAAGAGAAGAACCGGCGCTCCGCTCGGCCGCTTCGACAATGCTGCGGAACCAAGCGGATGAAAGGAGCGGCAGAGGTTTGCGGAGTAGTTGGATGAGGCGGAGGACGAGGTTGGAAGAAGGATGAGAAGCAGAAGGAAGAGAAGGAGACGACGAAGCGGCCGACGATGACGAGCGGGAGGTGGGAAAGACGCTTGGGATTTTTATTTCTATTTCGACTCATTATTGCGCTCTATGCGGTCCTGCGTGAGCATTGGCACCGGCTCCCGGTGGCTAATCGCTGACGTCCTTACTGGTACCACGGTGAGACCTCCGCTTCGTAAATTAACCTTACGCTTATTTGAGAAAGCTTGCGTTCTCCCGTACACCCTTCGAATACTTTTGAATTATACGGAGATCGCTGCTAAAGATTATTATAAGCTTTTTTTTTCTACGTTCTGTGCGCTTTCATTAGCTAATGTAGCCCTAATCGTTACTAATTTACATATGTATATCCCGATAAGCAAACTATCTGAATAAAAATCCGACAACTCGACAGCTTACATTCAACTTTTTTTTTTTTAATGTTTAAGCTTTCTCTCCCACATACGCACACGAATGTGTACAGCATTACGATATGTAAAATCATAATTTTTTGGATTTATTAATCGAAGTTACTTATTGGCCAGCCAAATAGATCTATAAATCCAGACAAATATTCATAATGCACTTTGTAATATTCAAATATTTGTGAATTTCGCGGATTATACGATGTTCATTTACATAATTACGTAAAATTTCAACTAAATCCACTTAAATATATCGAAGCGAATTTTAGTCGAATCAAATCGTATTATTTAGAGAAAAAAAAAATTAAACATGAATTTTATTCCTATAAAATTAAATTCTTTTACAAAAAGATGTAGATGATTCGACGTTGGAAAAAAAATCAGGGCACGAGAGCCTACCTCATTCGTAGGTATATCAGTTAGGTTCTTAAAAGAAAAAAGAAAGAAATTCAATAAGAATTCAATAAGAATCATAATCAAGCATCGGTGAATATTGATTATGTGAGAATGACTGTTTATAATAAAATTGAAATAATTAAATTGAAATGTGTACAAAAAGGAAAAAAGTAAAGAAAGAAAGAAAAGAGAGAATCTAAGAGTAAGAGAAATAAAGAGCCAACATAAAAACATAGATGGATAAAGAGGAAGAAAAAGAGGGAGTGAGAGAGAGAGAGAGAGAGAGAGAGAGAGAGAGAGAAAGAAGGATTCAGTTCGTTCGATGGAGTTTTGGTATTCTTGGACCTTTGATATACACGCATTTCGAGGCCGTTTTTTCTTTAACGTGGTCCTTTATTGGCCCCCTTCCCCTTTCACCGTGTCCACGTTCCTTCCTTCCTTACTCCTTCATTTCTCGAGCAGCTCTCTTTTTTATATGCGCGTCTTTTTTCCCTTTAGCTTGCTTTTATCCACGAAGGACTTATTATTTTTAAGGAGTGAGTGAGATGGAATTTCGGTGCCCTCACTCGATTTTGCTCACGGGATAATAATTAGGGGGAGACCGCAAAGCGCTTTGATGTAAATAGCAACGCGGCGTGTATATTATGATTTAAAAATTACATGACCGTTGTCGATCACTTATGGTTTTTAAAAGCTTAATATGCGCGCGTTTCAGCTGATCTCAGGCAATCATTGTACCACTTGTTTTTTTTTTCTTCTTTACAAGCACGTGTATGACAATAAACTAGCTAATCTATGATAAAAAGTTATATGTCTAAAGTTGACATGATATCATTGAAATTTAATCGATATGAAGATTATTGACTATAAACACGCATTAGAAGAGATCTGTTCGATATTTTTGTTACGGCTGGCATATAATTGTTAAATCTGCTAATAAATCAGATTCATAAATTTTACAAATAATTATTAAGGCGATTACCTAATTATTATCCAATTGTGATATGAACTCGATTAACTTATTTATCGATGGAAGGAAATTAAATTCACAATATTCATATTAACTGTAATATAACGAGTGCTGGTTGTATAAAAACTGATTGTCTAAAATGCCTACCTTTTATCAAATAATATCAATTATATAAATGTGCAGGAAAACTTCTTTTAACTTTAATTAATTGGTTTTCAATTTTCAATACCTGAAACTACTTGATAGTTATTGTGAAATTAGCTTTTGCAACATAAAAATTCTTCTAATTAAATCTAAGCTTGGTATCGCATATTAAATCTTTCGCGATCACCTTATAAGAATTCAGTGCAAGAATCCAATTTTGTACTGTTGAAGTTCTTATAGGAACACACGAGCACGTTATTTATTCTTCCTACATGTCAACTACGAGTCGTACAAGGGAAGTGAGCGATTTCCCGTATCTGAAAAAAAATTCGTACTTAAATTATAAATATTACACAACTCGTATGTCGAAAGATTAATTAAAAATATCCTAATACTCGTGGGAATTTATTACGAAAAAAAAATTATACAACATTAACATTCTAGTACATAGTATCAATGTACATTTCAATTACAAAACTTAAATTTATATTTACTGACGAAACTATTATAATATTTAGAAGAATGACATTATATTTTAATAAAGTAAATAACACTAAGTAGCGTACAAATAGTCCGTAATATTTGTAATAAGAATCAGTCTTAAAAATAACAAGTTCGAAATCGAAACTTAAGCCACTACTATCATATAAATACTTATTCCTTCTCATTGGTATAGAAGATGTTAGGCGTCGTTCTAACATGCAGATTCTTGTAATGATTCTAATTACAAGAGAATCGATTGAAGAAAGAAAAGAATGTTCAATCGTCGGTCCGACTCATTTTATCAATTTCGTCAAGTGGTGATGGTCCACAAAGAAATTTCCATTAATGGATCATTCACATTCGCTGCATTGAACAGCAGTTCTAACAGTGAAATCTACCAGTAAACTAACAATAAAATAAACAGTAATAAAACAGTGAAATAATTTTTTAAATTGTATATAATATAATATAATAGAAATAAATGTAATAAATGTAATATAAATATAATATAATTAAATATAATATTTTAAATTGTATATTCAATATAATACATAATGTATACAAATTGTACACAAGGAATATTAAACACATCGATAAATACTGTTAATAAATTTCATCAAATAAATTGATATATACGACGCAATTATTAAAAAAAAAACGCTTTTAAATTTCATCATAAACATATACAGATACAATAACGTATTTTCATTAAGTATATATTTCCACCAAGATGTTGATTTTTCTCGCACGTCATCAACTTATACATTTCATTTCTATTTAGACATCATATATCTTAATCCCGTGCCTCATCGAATAAAAATAGAAACAGCATTATAAAAGTAAATGTTCCATGATTACAAAGAAATCAGAATGCATTAATTTGAATATTGTAATCGAATATTTTTCCATTGCCAAAATAAAAGGTCACTTTTGCAAATTTACTTCGTTCGTGTATTCGATCTCTCCGTCATCGTCGGCGGTTGCGCGTATTGTTAATGAGTACGGCACGAGATCGCATTTTTTTAGTACGAGCGATCTATAAAATTTATCTGATTACCCATCTGGTGCACATTAAGCTCGAGTTGCCAGTAAGGACGTTTTGTGTGCCGAGCGTAGCACACATCCCCTTTGTGCCCGCGTTTCATTTCATGAGGTCACAATAGGCGAGCTCAATGTGCCGATGTCCCCTTCCTTCAGTTTCATTCGCATTCACGCCCTTCATCAGCTCCAAAACTGAAGAGCGAATAACGACAGACCGATGCGAGCTCTAATAAATCCTATTATTTTGTTTCGGAATAGCCTCCCATTTGCTTCTCATGGCAGCTTCGCCATGAGAATAAAAAAGTCACGTGGATACGGACATGGGATCGCTGGGTTCAAAATTTTCGCGAGAAGCTGGTAATTTGCGGTTTTTACTAAGTTCGCTCACTCGAAATTGATATACCCCTGAAGGCCCACAGATGCACTTTCTTCGTTGATTTATAGCCGCGTAAGCTAAGTATTGAAGCAGATATTCTCAATATTACCGACAACTCGCTAATCTTTTTTGTTGTTAAATTTACTTGAGTACACAGTTTTGCGCTGCTACCTCCAACCTTTTCTCTTCTTGTTGCACCTTATTCACGAGCGATTTCTATTTTTCGACTCTAATTACTTTAATCGATATTTTAATAAATATTTTAGGTATTCGTAATTATTGTCATATTAACGTGTAAATTCTTAGATGAAGATACTGTTACAAGAATAGGATCGATCGAAATTGGATCCATTGCCTTATTACATTGTGATTTTCCATCGTCACGCAATATGTAAGGCGTATTAATATTGAGGCATTGATAAAAATTTAATCATCAATTGCGATATTATTATTATTATTATTATTATATAATTATCAAGCAATTATTAATAATTGTGATGGCCTTGTTGGAAATTAAAATTTGTGATAGATAGGAAATATCGCTTTGAGAAAGCCTATAAAAATTAGAATTCTTAATTGTCTTAAAGGAAGAAATGTCGAGGATAAGAGACATGTAAGATTGTACGAAAATGACTTTAAGGTACTGAAGAAAATAAAAAATCAGAAGATAATAAAAAAAAATGGACACCTCAACATCTCATTTTCACTGAGCAACAATGAACAAAAGAAGAAGAAGAAGAAGAAGAAGAAGAAGAAGAAGAACAAGAAGAAGAAGTAGAAGGGATATGTATAGGGCGATAGAAAAGATGAGAAACAAAATCAATAAGAAGCCTCAGAGCGAAGGAGAAAAAGAGGAAAAGATTCTTTTCGAGGAAGGCCCATAATGGATCGCGAACGAATCTCGCGAATCTGCGACAGCGTCGGTGGCGGCAATGTCGTCGTATCGAAAAAAGCAGCAAGAAATGTCAGCATTCGAACACTCATAACGGTACAAAGCGCGTAATTAGCACTCTTACGTCAACTACCGGGGGATGAGAAGAAAAGGGAGAAGTTGCGTTGGCCGGTGGGATCAAAGCACCAAAGGGAGTCGTGGCAACCTGTCACG